TTTTTTTTTTTTTTTTTTTTTTTTTTTGCCAAACAAACAAGCCAAAAACCTAAACCAAAAACCAAACAAAATCTAGCAGATAAGCCTATATTCAAAAACTTGTTATATGTTGCCTAAGTTTAACTCCTTCTATTAAAAAATGATTATGAAATAAAAATGAATTCTGATAGTGTAAATTTACCAAACAGTACTAAAAATAAAAATAACGTAACCAACTCCACACCTACCATTCACATTTAATGATGTTAAATTTTTGTCATATTTGCTTTATGTTTTTAAAGGAAAAAAAGGTAGATTGTACTTAGGCACTGCTCTCTTTCCCTTCCCTTAACTTTTCATGCTTGTATTTATACTTTTATTGCATATGTGAACCCATAGTAGTAAAAATTAAAAGTTGTAAATTACTAATGTTGGTAATAATGTAAGGAACTAGGAACACTTGTACATTGTTGGCGGGAGTGTAAATTGGCATAATCGCTTTGGAGAGCAACTGGGCAATAACTGTTAGAGTTGAAGATGTACGTGTTCGATGCCCCAGCAATTCCACGTCAAGATCACCTTCTCTACACATTTGTAACAGGAGGCAAAAGACATCTAAGGACATTTCTTGAAACTCAATGCATGTTACTGAAAATAATCTAAATGTTAATTAAAGGATAATGAACAACTATGATACATTCAAGCAGTGGAATAGTATATATCTGTTAAAGTCAACAAGCTACATATAAATATATCACTGTAGTTAAATCTTAAAATGTTGAGTAAAAAAACAGATAGCAAAAGTATTTGTAAGTACACTATTTATGTAAATTTTAAAGCACACAGATTCCTTGCATTTTAATTTCATCTTCAATGTCCAGTTGTGGAGGTTTATGGTGATTGTTGTGGGGGAGATCAATGGTGAGCCAAATTCTTGATGAGATTTCAACATCGACGTCCTTCAAAAACTCCCTCACAGAACCTATTAAGTCTCCAGAGTAGGGTTGTCCAACAGAATTTTCTGCAGTGGTGGAAATTTTCTATATCTGTGCTGTCTCATACTTGAAATGTGGCTAGTGTGACTGAGAAACTGAATTTTTCATTTAATTTAATTTTAATTTTAATAGCCACATGTGGCTTGTGGCTACCGTATTGAGTAGCACTGCTCTAGACCTACCAACTCAAAATACAGAGGACAGAAGACACACAGAGGTTCATTCAGTAAGATGTAGACTATGGGAAACTCTAGGCAAATGACCTGGTGTCTTCCACAAATAAATTGCAGGGTGGGGAGAGGGAGAAACTATAAGTTAAATCTACCAACTCAAAATACAGAGGACAGAAGACACACAGAGGTTCATTCAGTAAGATGTAGACTGTGGGAAACTCTAGGCAAATGACCTGGTGTCTTCCACAAATAAATTGCAGGGTGGGGAGAGGGAGAAACTATAAGTTTAAAGAGACTGAAGAGATAAAATGGCCATATTTGGTTGCCAATTTAAACAGATTGTTAGAAGAGATCATGAAATAAATGGGATTTGAACACTGGACGCTTCATTATAACATATAATTACTGATAATTTTCTTAGGTATGATAATTACATTGTGTTCATTTCTTTTCAGTACCTATCTTTTAGAAATACATACTAAAATATTTATAGATGAAATCATATGATATCTGGAACTGGATTCAAAATTCTGAGGAAGACAGGAGGTAGGTGGAGGTATTGGTGGAACAAAATTGACAGTGAGTTGATATTGTTGAAGCTGAATGATGGGCACACGAGGTTTATTAATGCTGTTCTGCCTATTTTGGTATATGTTTGGAATTTTCCATTATGCAAGTTTAAAGAGTCATGAATAAGTTGAAATAAAATGTCTTTCTTAGAATCTTAGGACTGGAGAAGGCTTTAGTTTTCACCTTCTTGAGGCTCTATTTCACCTAAATAATTTTGGAAGGATAACAGATGTCCTCAGTGAAGGGCATGCGTCCACAATCTCCCTAGAAAGCTCACACTGGTAGCTGCTTTCCTGGCATAATGGGATGGGAGAATGAATGAGTTCTCCGTGTTTTATGCTGTGACCAACTGCATAGACATACATCCCAAGCCAACCTCCATTGAAGGCATCAAGGTGTTAAGACTTAATATCCGTCTTTCTTTTTTATGTTACAATCTTTGGGATTTTTCACATTGACTGAATATCTGAATTTTATTTTGTCCTTATGGTTATTATCCAAATTTTCAATTCAGATTCGTTATCCCTGTGTGTGAAAACTAGCAGGGTGCAGTGTAGTAGAAATGACTTTGCACAGGGGGAGCTAGAAATCAAATTGAACTAGAATGAACCCCTCAGCCTCTCTGGGTCTCTCTTTCTTCATCTGTTACATTGGACAGTTGTACTGGATGCTCTCGAAGTTCCCTTCTAGATATAACGATTGCTATAATTCTTTCCTATACCCATTATCAATTGCCTTCCCAAAATGTGGGGTGGCTTTTTAAACCATTAACTTCCATCTAATAATTTTGAAGTCTTAATGTGGGGGGAGGAGGACTTTGGACTTGGCAATGTTTGATATTAACTAATCTTTCTTATTGCTTATGATTTCACTGTCCCTCTAAATGTTTACAGATTTTTCTCTCTTCAAATTGTTTCATTATTGGACAGTAA